ATATATATATATATATATATATATAATATATAATAAGAATCATAGAACATCATTCTACTTTAATGAGATAAATGATAATAGCATTACACTTTTTATTGTGCTACTTTAATTAATTTTAAATGTTGAAAATTTTGGGCCTGTCCTGATCCCAGGATGTTTGCCTTCTCTAATAACTAAAAATAAATAATAAAACAAGAAAACTTTTCACTTTTTCATTACAACTTCTAAACAACACCTTTTAAAATTAATTTAGTATGTGTAATTTGTACAATTTAATTTTTAAAAAGCACTATTAAGGACAGTTTTTGTTTTTTGCTATATACACAATGTAGAAATGTATTTTTCAAAGTTGTAAATCAGACAAAGATTATTGGAGTACTTTTTACAAGAAAATACTATTTCAGATTTTCTACTTCAAATGTTCATTGTAATTATATATTCTATATATTATATACATATTCCTTTTTATTTGTACATTATATTTGTAATTAATCTCAAAATTAACTGAGTGCTAGTTAATGTATTATGTTAACAGGTTGAAGATTATCCAAGTTTTTATCCAAAAAAAGTGAAAAATCATGTAATTTCCATCACACATAATATCAAAAATACCAAAATGCACTTTTAATAAAAGCTACGATCAGATATTTTTTCCAGGACGTGCTATATATACAGTATATATATATATATACATATAATACATAAACATTTTGGTTGACCTTTTATTTTGACATTGTTGACATTTCACAGCACACACTCACCTGAGAAGAACTGGGCCTTGAAGCCTTTTTTAGAGACGGTGTTGTCAGATTTAAACTCAATGCGCATGTTGTTGTACTGAGAGGTGATGGCCTCCGGTTTCTCAGCTCCGCAGAATTTCCCGTGCAGTCTGGAGTCGGCAGACAGACCGCTTCTCACCTCAACAAAGTCATACTTACACACCTGCACAGCAGAGAGCAAACCTGAGTCACGGGTCAACATCTACAGAGAACTTTCAACCTGGTCAACAGCATCTTTCTTCTCCCAAAACACAGCATACGATGCTCTTTTCAGCAAGGATATATAATAGTGACATTACTTGTATTGTTTTCCCTTTTGCATGTATTATTATTCACTTTTGATAAAATTGTCTGCTAAATGTAAACGATTGAATCAAAAATAGAGAGGGAAAAGACGGTCTCATTTGTTTTGATGAGAAACTGGATGGATCTTTCATTTAAGTGGCACAAACTGCTCCAAATACTCCACTGATAATCGCAGCTTTTCATTTTGATCTCAACACATGAGTGCTTGGCAACTTTTGCCAATAATAGTTCACAAGCTGTACACTAGTTATCTGGAACAAATGTTGTTTTTGGCAATCAATAAAGCTGAGGCCATTCTCACCTCCCTCTATTAAACCAGTGCCAGTACGCTTAAGGAATGTTTCAGGTTCAATGCGAGTTAAGCTCTACTGACAGCATTAACACAGACAATATCGACAAAACAAACACAAATCATATTCACAGTAATGCGCTTACAATGGAAGTCTATGGGGCAAGACATTCAAGAGGGCTTAAGAGCAGGAATGGTCGGCTTAAAGTTTAAAAAGAAGCACTTGTATTCATTCTTACATACAAAATGTGTTATTTAAGCATGTAAATCATGCTTTTAATGGTGGGGCAACTATTGTAAGTGGATGAATATTTGGTTAAACGTTACCGACGTATCTCCTGCGGATGGAGTTTGCTCCATGTAAACAGTACTTTGCAGATAATGTTCGTTTCTGGTATCCTTTCACATATTGTGCAAAGGTTCTTTTTGTGCAGGTTCAGAATCAGAATCAGAATCAGAATGAGCTTTATTGCCAGGTATGTTTACACATACGAGGAATTTGTTTTCGTGACAGAAGCTTCCACAGTGTAACAGAATGACAGTGACAGAACAAAAAAAACAAGATAATAAAAAATATAAATAAATAAAAAAATAGAACAAGTAAATAAGGAATAAAAATAATACAAATCGACAATCGACAAGGGTTTCCATGAAACACAGAGCAGCAGTGTTTGAAAAATCCTTATTTGTCCAGGAGAGCAGAAGGAGTTCGTCCATTTTGTTGGGTAGAGAGCGGAGGTTCGCCAGATGGATGCTAGGTCGGGTGGTGTGTACTGCCGAATGTCCAGCAATTCGTCTCTGGTGAAACTGATTGCAGGGATATAACTAAAGACAGGACAAACTAACAAAAACATAAAAACAACTGCGGAGCACGCCACGGAGGCAGCCATCACCGTTGGCGCCATCTTGTGTTATCCATGCACAATAGACTCTCAGCCCCTATAGACTTTCAATGGAAGTCCATTATTGTAAACCGATTCTTTTTTGTGGTCATAATTACTTTCTGTGGTAACTGGCAATATGCCACTGAACCCAAAACATTCCTAGCTTTAATTTATCCAGCAATTATATAGTACGCTATTAATGTGAAGCTATAAAATGCTCAGGAAAACTTGTTGCTTTAAACACGTTTTAGTGTGTCGTCTAATATAGAGGACTAATAGCTATTTAAAAAATCCGGCCTGAGCCAACAGCCTCATTTTATTCTCAAAATCACTCTTCTTATTTAGCACTAATGTAAAGGAGTTGCTGATATATTAAAGCAATACAACCGGCTTCTATTAAAGTCTGTGAAATTAAAAATAATGAAAGATGGCAACTCTTTAACAGAACAGTTTTGTTATAAACTACCTGAGTGTTTGTGATAAGCATGCATGAAGCCAAAAATCTACCCTTCATCTTAACAAACAAATCCTAAATGCATTCGTCATGTGAGCCTCACCGGGCAAAACTGCAAAAAAAAAAACAAGTGAGAAAACATGAAGGCAATTTGGAGAAGTCAGTCCCTAAAGCCCTGTGGTGATTCACACCAATCGAGCTGAAATGAACCAGACAAACCCACCCCACGCTGAGGCAAAAACCTAGTGCTCACATCGTTCCCCTCAGTCTCGAAGACGTCGAAGAGCAGCGTGATGCGGTACTGCGTGGGCGCCACCAGCTGCCAGATGCAGTTCTTGTTGGGTGGATACTCTTTGGGCCAGCCTGGACTGGTGATGGACCCATTCAGCTTGGTGATGAAACCACCACAGGCAGCTGGCGAAAAAGACAACAGAAAAGAACTGTAAGACAAATTATACTAATGTATTCTGGAGAAATACTTCACACACAACATTTATTGAAATTATCTGATTCCCAAACCTTTTCAGTAACAGCACATGGGCACAAAACTTTGGAAAGTTAAAGGAATGTAAAGGAAGTAGCAACAGATCTTTTCTTCCATATTTGTGACAGAAATTTGAGTAACATCGATTATCAAAAAATTTAAGGTGGAGACTTGCTTCTATATCGGTTGTGATTGGATTGGAGGCAGATCTGAACGTGAGCTTGCAAAGAAACGAGCTTTAAATGATTAAATGATTGAAGAAGATACATCACCAGAGTAAGGTCTGTAATTTTTCACCGGAAGATACATTTATGACATTTTGATCAGTACAAGGTCAAAAAAAGAAAGCATGTGCATGGATGAATCATTCACAATAACCTCGAACAACATTTAGAAACCAGAAAGGGTGATTTTCCATTTAAGATGGCTTGTTGTGAAATTCCCTTCATGTTCTCTTTATACACAGCATTTATTATGTAGAATGTTGGCTGGTTGTTTTCTTTAAAAAGTATCCTTGGCTTTAAACTTCATTTGAAGGTACTCATGTGTGTTTATTTAGAGTTTTTGTGGATTGATCAAGAACCTTTTGAGAAGGAATCACGAAGCTTCAACAAATTTTCCCCTCTGATCTCTACCACTATGTTTAAAGGGGTAGTTCACCCAAAACTGAAAAGTTTGTCATCAAAAGAATGAAGTATGTTTGTGTCTAAACAACATCAAACCCTATTGACTTTCATTGTAGTATGTGCAAAACAACATTGAAACATTGGATTTAATTCCACCCCTGACTATCACTGTCAGAAAAAAGAAATGTGGTAAAATTGTACCTTTGGGTTACCTATGTATCTTCTTTACCCATAAAGGGTGCATATTAGCACTTTAGAGTAGTGATATATACCCTTAAGTTAGTAATATGTCAGCTTATGGTACTATTATACACCCTTAGGATACTGTCCCAGCGACAAGCTGTTGCACCCATAAAGGTATAATTTTGCCACTTTTTTTCTGAGAGTGTAAAAAATAAATGCAAAAATGTACAACACAGCCCCTTAAAAGAGGGTAACATATGGGGAAAAAAATTTTTTTTTGTGAAAGTATGCTTACATATTTCATGCACAACACGCCTAAGTTACATAGCGCTCTTAAACTCTCAATTTATCAAGCGGACAAGCTTGTGGTTTGTCAAAACCAGCGCATGCTACATATAAAATAACAAGAACGGTCCTGTTTTAATTAAAATACACAGGGAACAACCCCAGGCTTTGTATCTCATCAAACACAAGCAGAAAGACGGAGTAGTTTACTTTAGTCCGGTACGATCCAAATTACCGAAAGGATCCCCTACAGCGAATTCCACTGAACACGTGCGCTCGGGGAGAGATGTTTCCATGGCTACCAGCATGCCATTGAGAAGCCTTTAGACAGCCCTTGCCTTGAAGTTTTAGCTTTGTGTACATTTAAACCCTATCCGTCTCTATTCCCACAGGGCCATCGTGCAATAAACCCTCTGCATCGCCTGTTCTGTGAGAAAGAGCGGCACAGTCATTATGATAATGTCGGATTTATTGCTGATATGATGATAGCCACCGGGAAGCTGTGCTGGGCCAATCTTTCTTTTATCTAATGGAGAATCATTTTCCAATTACTCCAGTCTGTCATGATTGAGCTATTGAGTCATCTCAGTGCATGTCTGAACAAACAGATTTTTGCTCAATATAGCAGCCGCAGGGTACGTGCTGTCCTAGCAGCTGCCTCACGTATCCAGACATTAGCCGACGATATAATAAGAGACGTTAACTGTTAGGCAACATTTTACCTAAGAATGATTTGACCCTTAACCCGAACTGTATTTAAGTGCTTTGTTCGAGAAGAATATGATATAAACAGATCCAAACTTCAGCATAATTTCCAGCCGCTCAGAAAACAGAGCAGCGCTTTGTAAGTGTCGTGCGGAGGAGGGTAAAGAAAGCCAGACAGGCCTGCTGTCAATGTGAGGAAGGTGCTCTTAACTTGCTGGCAGCCCCAAGCCAATATCACAAAACAGATGTCGGCGGTATGTCAACAGCACAAGCAGGAGTAGTAATTAAGAGGATGCAGTAGCACACACTGTCCACTAGAGGCAGAATGAGGTCAGTGCTGCTGGCTGCTCAAAACATGCACTCAGTAATTCTTGCTTCAAGAAACATTTCTTAAAGGGAAAGTGCGAATTTTATGTGTTAAAATACTTATTTTATCTCAGATTACTAAGCCTTTTGTAGGTTGATTCCCTCAAAAAGTCTATTAAAACTATCAAATTGTACTGTTTGTTTGAGACCCTGACCAGCCCGGCAAACACTGGTTCAACCAATGGTGTGATTTCAGGCCGGGGCTAGCTGTTTGTTTAACCAATAAGAAGATAAGGGGAGTGTTCCATTGAATTTTTTTATTTTTATGGAGTGATGAAATTAGTGGCACAGAAAGTTCCACTTCATCTTTAAAAGTTTAAGGTAAACAAAAAATAACATAACATTACCTACATATAATACATTAGACCATTGATCGATAATGTAAAGAAAGATCAGTCAATCCTGTGTAATGTGACTTTTTGCTGAATTTGAAATTCAACAACAACACTTCGAAAACGGACCTTGCTGTTAATTTTATAATTACAACAATTTATCAGGATTATGATTATTATGGTAATCTGCATGCAGCACATCTTGGCCTTTGAGATGATTAGCAAGTCTTCTGCAAGAACCGCTGTACAATCAGAAAACACAAAAGCCTGTCATTTACTTCTTAAAAAAAAACAAAATACATATGTTCCTAAAAAAAATTTGAGAACTTCTTAAGAATTTTTCAGGAATTGAGCTTTAGGGTGCTTTCACACCTGGCCTGTTGTTTCGGAACCTGGTGCGTTTCCCCCCTTAGCTCGGTTCGTTTGGGCAATTGGTCCGAGATCGCTTGAACGAGGTGGTCTCGGCTCGATTGAAAACGAACTCTGGAGCGGTTCGGTTGTAGTGAGAAAGCAATCCGATCTACCGGACCAACGAACCAGGCTATATCACAATTTATGATGGGTAATTACGTAAGTTCCGTGAAAAGCATTAGCTTTGTTGTTTTGCTAATACTTTAAAATGAACGTGTGAATGTCTATGGGTGAGCACGTCTTTGCCATTCAAAAATCAAAGCGCACTTTTTTATTTTATAATGCCGTCTTATTGCTCTTCTTTGTAGTAGGTGCATTTTAAAAATGTTTTCCCAATCAATCCTAGACTCCTGCTCAAAATGATAAATTATTATAAGGACAGCTACAAAAAAACAACAACAATAAGCCCGCAAAGCTGTTATCGTTCCATCCTAACGGATGACATGCGTGACAGCTAAGTGGAATCACGGAAAATAAACGGTGGAACTCTGACCAATGAGAGAACAGTTTACTCGCGCATGACTTGTATTAACAAATTTGGTCCGTTTAGAAACTTTGCCATGTGAAAGCGAACCGCACCAAGAATAAAAAGCAACATTGTAATAATTTTAATCCCTGTTTCGGAACAAAGCAATCGATCTACAGGTGTGAAAGCACCCTTAGTTTCTTAGAAACTCATTTTAAGAAGATTTTAGTGAATTCGGCCTGTGATCTTTAAAAACTTTGCCCTAAAACTTGCCTTTATCACCACATACAGAGTTAGCGATATTTGTTTGTGTACTGTAAGACAAATCCATTTAAAAATGGAAAATAAAGTAATTTTCTGCCTGGACTTATCCGTTAAGTTTATGGACATTTCCTTTAAAGGGATCCCTGGGTATTAAGACTTGTATGGCTTAATATAACGTAAATGATGTCTCTTCCTGAAATATGTAGTAGAAGACCCATTAAAGATTTATGTTATTTTAAAAATCACATCGTTTTATACATATTTTGGACTATGGGGGGCGCCATTATTCTGATGACGTAAAATGGTTGCACTCGGTGAGCTACTGCCGCTACCTGTTGCTAATTTTACCACAACCCAACTCGGAATAGACAACTCGGAAAATAAAATACTGTTATGATGACCACAGCTACTGAAAGAGCTTACAGGTGGAGATGGATAAGCATAGGCTTAAACCAAATGCTGTACCATCGATTTTTCCCCACATGGAGTCTAAACGCCCCGGATCTCGAGGAAAATCTGCGCTGAGAAACTCCTCTAGCGGCCGCGCGTCATGATTAGCGTCGGCATGTTTACAGGATGACATAGCGTTTCTCAGCCGTTTGTAAGCTCTTTCAGTAGCTGTGGTCTACTAAAAGACTCAAAGGCATCAGGACTAAAGTGGAGTGAAAAAAGAAGCGGGTCTTTAGGAAGTTTTATTCGTCCACAGGCATCTTCCCATTCTTTTCTCCTCTTCTTGTGAAGTCTTGCATTGCTTCTCTTGTTGCCCTTCGACTGAAAATTACAACCAAAAGTCACACAATGTGATATCGTATCAGTATTTTATTTTCTGAGTTGTGTATTCTGAGTTGTGTTGCGGTAAAAAGCCAAAGACTAGAAATAAGCGCCAGTAGCTCACCGAGTGCAACCATTTGACGTCATCGACGCAGAATGTACTGTGCACATAAAATAATGGCGCCCCCCATAGTCCAAAAACCATGTTGATTTTTTAAAATAACATACATCTTTCATGGGGTTTCTACTATATATTTAAATAAGAGACATCATTTACCTTATATTAAGCTATACATGTCTTAATACCCGGGAATCCAGCACTGAACTGTTCACATACTGACCCTCGCAACTCCGCTTGTCTGCCGCCAGTTCATACCCAGGGTCACAGGCGCACTTGTAACTACCGAGCGTGTTGACACAGCGCTGCTCACAGCGACCATTGTCAGGTCTGGAGCACTCGTCCATTTCTGCAAACAATAAGAACATCAGAGCTTAATCATTTATGGTACCTTGAAGGAGCGATGCTAATATCTGAGAAGATATTTAGTGCTAATATCGTAGGATTAGCATTATCGGCTATATTATGAAATCATAATATCAGGGCTCATCTTTTTTCATCATGTTGGTTATCGGTCAAATATTTTATGTGCATTCCTGAATTTAAAAAATGTCAAGCTATAATGTAAAATTCTGAGTTATAACGCCAAACATCACACCTATGAAATTTTTAAAGACCAAATAGATAAAGCAAAATAGTACACTTCACCTTTGAAGAAATTAGCAGCAAATCCAGCTTTGTTGACAGACCCATCAGACACAAATTTCATCCAGATCTGGTTGGAACTGGATTTAATATCGTCGGGTTTGTCATAGCCACAGAATCTGCCCAACAGCGGGCTGCTTTCTGAGTTCCCATCTCGAACCTCCAGGTAGTCGTACGCACAGTTATCATGCCTCTCGATCTTGGAATGAAAAGACGAAAGATAATGCAGAAAAAGGAAATGGAAAAACTCAATTTAAACCTGAAAGACCTGAAATGGATTTCTTTTCTTTCAATGTAAGATATGCCATTACCATTGAAAGCAACCAGCTGTGACTGTAACCAACCTTTTCATCAAGGTCTAGAACAACTTAAAACAAAAAATCAAGTGGAAACAACGCTGAAAGTTTTTCCCCTTTTCTTTTACAGATCTACAGCATCCCTTCTTTCCAAATACAAAGATCATGGGGAGTTTTGGGTTTATTTACACCGGCTGGTTAGAGACAGTCTAAACCAAACCCAGAGCCAATGCAATGACACGACAAAATCAGAGTCAGCCAGACAAATGTCTCAAGCAACATTTAAAAAATGTAAAAAAAAAACTCAGTAGTTTATGTATACTCAGTTTAAAAAAATCAAAGAATGCTATAATGATATAATTGACTTCTTTTTACATTTTAGCAATCCCATTAAAATCAATGTTCATAAATGTCATTACATTTGATTTACATGCATGCTCTGAAGTACAGTCATGGGTCATGGCCAAAAATATCGGCACCCTTGGTAAATATGATCAAAGAAGGCTGTGAAAATTAATCTGCATTGTTAATCCTTTTGATCTTTTATTTAAAAAATTCACAAAAATCTAACCTTTCATTGGATAATAAGAATTTAAAATGGGGGGAAATATCATTATGAAATATGTGTACAATGAAATATACTGCTGTATTTTTGATGTTGTAGGCCTATATTTCTGCTGGAGGTCCTGGACATCTTGTTTAGATACATGGCATCTTTGATTCTATCAAATACCAACAGATAAAAAAATCAATAAGTGACTGACTCTGTTAGAAATCTTATAATGGACCATGTTTGGATCTTCCAACCGGACAATAATCCAAACACAAACCTCAAAAACAACACAAAAATGGGTCACTGAGCTCAAAACCAAGCTTCTGCTATGGCCATTCCAGTCCTCTGACGTGAACCCTATAGAAAATGAGTGTGGTGAACTGAAGAGGAGAAGCACCATCATGGAGCTGGGAATCTGAAGGGTCTGGAGAGATTCTGGATGAAGGAATAAGATCAAAAGGATTAACAATGCAGATTAATTTTCACAGCCTTCTTTGATCATATTTACCAAGGGTGCCGATATTTTTGGCCATGACTGTACATGAACATGAACACAATTTTTTTTCCCCTTGCTCACATGCTGATATTTCAAGTGAGCTGTTTTTCAAAATCAAACTGCACACATTATAATAATATAATGTATTCTTACACAGAGTAAAACATAATGAATTTATAATTTATAATTTATTTATTTATTTTATTTTACTGTGCACAGTGTAACTAACTAGTAATACAATTTAGTAATAAAAGTAATACATTTTGTTTTCATTACTGATTTTCAAGTTGCAGCCCAAGTCTCCAGGGTAATTTTTTATTTTTCAGTCCTATTCATGATTATTTCTAGATATATACTGTCTTTTCTTGTTTAGGACACACTCTAACATTATAACAGTGTGTATAAGCAATTAATTACATGCTTATATTGCAGTAATAACAACTTTTTCAATCATACCTCAAAAGACTGGAAGGTAAGGCCGACATGGTAACCCTGAGCCACAGTGATCTTCCACATGCACACTTTGTTGGGTCTGTAGTCATCTGGGTAGTTCGGAGACTGAATTTGACCATTGTCTTTCTTCACCTCCCCACCGCAAATAGCTGCAAGATAAAAGATTACAACACAAACATGATAGTTACTTATTTCACAACAGAAACGGCTGGAAACAGATAATGTTAGTTGTTCACCTAATGAAAACTCTAAGTAATTCATAGGTCAGCTATGGTTGGATTTAGGTCTGTGGGGCAAAACACTCAATACAAATGAATTTGACAATGTTTTCTGTTGACGTTATTTTGAGCACTCTGGCTTTGCCCTAGACTGCAGCCATGAAATTGCTGCTTGTTTTGGGCTAATCTTGCTCACTACCACTTGCAGCTCTATCGACGTAAGAAATGCAAGGCCAAAGCTGCCGTTGCAAATTATTAAATATATGAATGCTAACCTAAAATATCAATGGTATGGGCTAAAGGCACAATTTCTTGACATTGTATGTAAACACTTATAGACACACAAGTACTATAGTGCTTCTTTATAATTTATTCAATGTCCACTAGCACATATTTTATAACATTTGATAGTTGTTGATTTGATTGATTGCTGGTACCTTCATAAACAGCAGAGAAGCCCTTTCCCACCCAGTTGCTGCTGCTGCGAAACTCAATCCACAGGCGACTGTCTGTAGAGATGATCGGCTCTGGTAATTTATCCCCACAAAATCGACCTGCATACAGAGGTACAAGCAAATAATTCAACATTAATTAACAAGCTTCACCTTGACTTGTTCATATTGTTCTTCTGAAATGTCAGGTGTTCATCTCAAACCTTTCAGTGGTGCTTTCCTCCAATATCCATCTCTGATCTCCACATGATCATACCAGCACAAATGACTCCGGTATAAATCCATAGATGTAAAGTTCAGAATGATCTTAGGGAAGAAAATTTAGTAAAGTGTTAATGGAGGAAAGTTGGAATCTGTGAAAGTCTTAATAACAAATAGCAAATGCAACGATTCCAAGCAGCATTTCAATTTTGAAATCCACATTTAGACAATCTACTTGGTGATTCAAACTCTGAGGAAATAGTTATGTCAGATTCATTAAGAAGTCTTTTTTAATCAATTCCTTTTTTCCAATTCAATCAAACCATTTTGCAGAGTATAAATTACTCCACTGTAATCAGGATGTTTGTTTTAGAGTAAAACTATATAGTGAGAGCCATAAATAAGCCATACATAACAATATTTGACAGACTATTTTCTTCAATCAAGCCTTTAAAATTGTATTACACTGTGTATATATATATATATATATATTGAAGTTGTACTGTAAGTAAAACAGATTATTGGAGCATTTTTTACAAGAAAATACATTGTAAATACAAATTTCAGTCTTTCTACGTCGAAATTTCACATTTAATTTAACATGTTATTTGAAGTTTGGGGAAAGTTACTTTTAAAAGTAAAGCAACTACAATATTGCCTTGCTCCATAAAAAAGTAACTAATTGCATTAGTTAAGCTTCATGGAAAGTAATGCATTATAATATTGCGTTACTCTGTAAAAAAAAAAAGTAACCAGCTGTGTTACTTAGTTACTCTTTATGGAAAGTAATGTGTTATAATACTGCGTTACTCTGAAAAAAAGTAACCAGCTGTGTTATTTAGTTACTCTTCATGGAAAGTAATGTGTTACAATATTGTGTTACTCTGTAAAAAAGTAACCAGCTGTGTTATTTAGTTACTGTTCATGGAAAGTAATGTGTTACAATATTGTGTTACTCTGTAAAAAAGTAACCAGCTGTGTTATTTAGTTACTGTTCATGGAAAGTAATGTGTTACAATATTGTGTTACTCTGTAAAAAAAGTAACCAGCTGTGTTACTTAGTTACTTTTCATGGAAAGTAATGCGTTACAATATTGCCTTACTCCATAAAAAGTTATTTACTCTTCATGGAAAGTAATGCGTTACAATATTGTGTTACTCCTTAAAAAGTAATTAGCTGTGTTATTTAGTTACTCTTTATGGAAAGTAATGTGTTACAATATTGTGTTATTTACTCTTCATGGAAAGTAATGCATTACAATATTGCCTTACTCCATAAAAAAGTAACCAGCTGTGTTACTTAGTTACTCTTTATGGAAAGTAATGTTACAATATTGCGTTACTCTGAAAAAAAGTAACCAGCTCTGTTATTTACACTGAACAAAATTATAAACGCAACACTTTTGTTTTTGCCCCCATTTTTCATGAGCTGAACTCAAAGATCTAAGACTTTTTCTATGTAGACAAAAGGCCTATTTCTCTCAAATATTGTTCCCAAATCTGTCTAAATCTGTGTTAGTGAGCACTTCTCCTTTGCCAAGATAATCCATCCACCTCACAGGTGAGGCATATCAAGATGCTGATTAGACAACATGATTATTGCACAGGTGTGCCTTAAGCCCCGTTCACACCAAGAGCGATAACTATAAAGATAACTATAAAGATAACGATATTAGCGT